GCCCGAAAATCACACGACCGATCGGCCGAGTGGTTCAGCCGTAACAAGGGCCCTGGTACTTGCCCAGCTAACCCGAGCGAGAAACCAGGCCCAGTGAACTTCGACTGTGCAGCAGGCGTGCCATCGGCACTCGGATGGACTGGGCGTAGCAACAAGAGCATTACAAAACGTACAAGTCGGTAATCAGCCAGTCTCGTGTTGGGGTGTGAGGGCTTCTACGTGCCACAGATCGCGGAATATGATCAGATGACAGAAAGGGTAAGAAGGAATGTACTTGTTTAAGGTCACGGATGAGAGGGACGAGACGATGGAGCAATCGCACTGTATTGGCTCAAGGGTTGATCGCGCATGATTCACTGGTATCAGCGGAGGGGGACAAACACACAATACACATACAGAGGCGTACGCGTACTAGCACGATAAACGATCGATATGTATCTCATGGGAATTGAGGCGTGACTGACCGAAGTTCATCCCACAACTGACCCCCACACTTTAACGGGAGGTAGAGAAATCGGAGTTGCGCGGTAGTCATCCAGAACGGGCTGGGAGGCTTCTCAGCACCGGTGAGGTCAATGTGACAGCTTGAAATAATCCGGGGACAGTTTGAAATGATTCCTGGACAGCATGATGTGATACTGGGACAACTTGACATGAAAAGGTATAGAAAGCTTTACCGTGATCGTAAGAGGCTGGAGTGTCCATTAAGGATTGCCACCGAGACACTCGAGGTATTGCACTGTCTCATCCACGGGGAGAGATTACAACCAATGGGATTATGTTCCGCTTCGTACTGCGGAATTTGAGGTGACTCGATTTGCTTGTATCGAATAATACAGAACCCAGAACCACCCATCGCTCCCTCTGCTCACGTTGTTGCTCAGTATGCACCTCAGGGGACACCAATTCAAGTTAATAGTTCGAAATTGTCTACTGGAATACTGGCGTCAATCCTTCGTCGTCAGTGTGCACCACTTGGAACGCGTGCCCATCTCACGTCGTTTGTGCGTCAACTGTTGAATCTTTCAAGCGGAGACCTGTGGAGACCCTGCTACACCTCACGTTCCTATGTTACCAAAAACGTGAAACTACATTACGAGTTATCTCTCATGATTTGTCGAGAAACGATTCCATTGCGCAAATATCCTATGAGAACAAGAGAAGCATGAGCTTGTCAGTAATTGCCATAATCAAACATTGATTTTGAATACCGGGGCGGGTGCTGAAAAATTGGAGGCACTCAAAGTTCTCGATTCGGTTCGAAGAATGTGAACACCACCGTGGGTGATCTTCATCTATTCATTACGGAAACACTTTATCACTTTGCCACTGAAAATATTTCCTTGTTTTTCACTATGACATCCAATGTACGGGTTAGATAATCCGAGTTAGTTGTGTGAGAAGGAAATGTGCTGTGCTTCAGACAGCTACGTATAAGTACACGACAATCTGCCATGCTCGTGAAAGTGCAATACGAATGGAGGTTCCCCTCCCCCTCCCTCACATCGTTTAATCCGAACAATTCGTTCCGGAACATCAGAACCCCTTCTGTATATAATGCACATCACCGTTAATCAAACCGTAATGCCAACACAGTCTAGCGTTGCCGTCACCAAAGCTATTTTTGGCACTGACGTTTCGCTCAACCTGCCAGGTCAACGACCCTCAGAGTTTCTCCACTGACCTGAGACCACGAGTAGAGGCGAACTACTGTTGTAAAATATTTATTCTATAAAAGAGTGACTGTCGCTTTGTGATTTGTGACTCATGTGCGTTATGGCATTGGCTAAGTGAGAAATGTTATTGCACCCCTCTCTACAGGGATGAACAGTATAGGGAAACGTCCACTTGTATTTTTATAGACATTCTCATTTCGGCTGCGCTACACTTACACGCTGTCAGTCAAATTGCTGAAATTTTCACATTTTCACTCATCATGGGATCAAATTATTTGTTCCAAACACGCCAGGACGTCTTTTGATGGTTAATCGTCTTGTGCCACTCCAGTTTCTCACTGTCCAGGATGAACCAAAAAACGCAAGCGTGCATGATGGCAAGTTGCTGATAATTGCACCCATTTTGCCAAGATTACTGTTCCCTCATTGGTCAACACGAATATTCGGTCAATGTTTCCAAATATATCGGATTCAACTAGTGCCCTCTGATCAAGAAGTGATATGAACACGTGTGCAGTCTGTGTTCAAGAATCCTGGTTGAATAAGGATATAGATGAATCTTAAGTGTCGATAGATTGGTTTCAAGTTAACCGACGACTATTTAGTATCGATAGATGGTTTTCGAGTTTACCAATACGAAGGTGGAACCGGAGGAAAAAAGACTGGAGGGGGTGTTGCCACATATGTTAACGTTTCCTGGTGTGGCAAGTCCCATGTTATTTTTGATTACTGCTCAAAAGGTATCGAATGCCTAATCGTGCCGCATCATCTAAGATTTTCCCGTTTTACACAGTTTTGACCAACTTGTATATAGCTCTTTGCTGTACACAATCCGATCGCATGTCATGTTTCGACTCATTCATGCCTTTTATTGCCTCACTTCTAGATGTTAACCTGCACATAATCGTTGGCGACTTTAACCATACTAGTACTTATCCTCTTTTAACAGTAGTTATGACAGATCTTTGTCATTCTCCCACAAGAGGTAATTCTATACTGGACAGAATAAACACCAACCACCCAGCGCTTTTTTCCTTAGCACTAAAAGCCCCTTTTTCCTCCAGCGACCAATATTTACTCTTAGTTCGACCTAAAGTTTATTCACACAGTGCACACAAATCTTTCTCTCGATCTGACCCCATCAGATTTCGCTTCTCACCTACAACTTTTTTTCTCCTCAATGAATCTCTAAGGCAGGCCTCTCTATGGTTTTCATCATCTCCCTCTCCTCTATTCAAGCAATTGTTAGCTTGGCTTTCCAACTATTTTACTGATAGAGTACAAACCACTAGACTGGGGAAGACTTCATCTAAGCCCTTAGTCAACAACTCCAGAGTTCTTCAATGAGCTGTGCTATCCCCATACTTATTTTCCACTTATATTTCTGACATTCCTTGTGTTTCTCCTGCACGTATTTTGAAATATGCTGATGACGTCCTACTGTGTCAAACCATTTCTTCTTACTACGATCTAAGCTCCTTCACAGACCATCTTGATCAAATTCAGTCACTCCCCTCCTCATCGGGGCTAACCTCGAACTTACTTACTTTACTTTACGGCGGCTGGCTCCTGGGAGAAGATAAGTCCGTTTCATGAATATAAAGTGAATATCCATGAAATTTCTTGGGAGTTAGGTACAGGAAACGTCCCCACCGTCACCCGGCTTTGGGTCTAGGTGGCACCTCTAGCCTTTGCACATCCAAGTGCTAACTGAAAGGCAGCAGGAAGGTACCGCATGGTTGCCGGTGGCCCTCTGAGGGGAAGGGGAGAGCTCATACGTCGTTGACAGTTTCTGGCTGAACAGGGGTCCATGCGTCCCTTTGACCGTTAAGCCGTGAAAGCGACTTCGGCCACCCGACACGTATACTAGACATCGACTCGCCGGGAATTGAGCTCCCGGTTACCCTTAACTTGGCTAACCTTAAACCCCAGTAAAAGTATTGTGTGTTTGTATCGTTTTGCCCGATCTCCATATCCGTCAGGCCAAATAGTGATTAATAGCATTCGTTCATCTAGGGTGAACTCTGTCAATTATCATGGTGTTACCATAGATAGCAATCTTCATTAGTCAACCCACATGCACAACTGCATTGGTAAACTGCGATGATTATCAATATCCAATTCGAAAGCTCAGGCAATTTCGCGCATCCCAGTCAGTTATTTCTACCTCTGTTTATCAGTGTTTTTCCATCTTACTTTACTATTCCCCAGTTATTTTTCCTGGCTTACTCAAACAGGATTACAAAGTCTTACGTCACGGTCTAATTATCATTAGCCGCGTCTCTTCTATTCCTGTGGATGAGTTAGCTGTAAAGCTTTCAGAGTATCACATAACACCCTGTGTGGAATTTGCGCAGAGGATTCTCACAGATCCTGACCACCCATTGCACACAGAAGTGACATGTTGTCGTTCCAATCCTTCCACACGGTCCCAATTCCGCCTAATGCAATCTCGATTTAACGCTTACCGCAATTCACCTATAACGTATCTGGCTGGTTTAGTCATAACAAGAAGGGGGCGATAAGTGAACTTTGTCTTAACCTCGGATTATGAAATTTCCCGTGTCTGTAAAACGTTTCTTCCCGTTGATTATGTGCTTTGTGATGGTTGGCATGTTTTTTTAACTGAAATGTGAGCTTTAGTGCATGAAAAAGTTATACAAAATGCAATACAATACAACAATAAATACTAAACGCAGCATACAATGACGATTAGACAGTGGGAATTTGTCCAAACCAGCTTGTCGAAACTGCCCTTCCGAACGTGCTGCTTGAAAAGCTACAACTAAGCTTACATAATACCATGAATGAGAACTGATCGCCTATCAAGAATGCTCTGCGTTACACTGACAGAGTGATTTGTGGCCAGACATGCCGAGTTGTCACCCAACTGATTTGTGTTGGACAGAGTAGAATGATGGGGAAAACGTGACATAAATAGGTCACAATCGATCGAAAAGGGGCCCTGTTGAAAGACGGGTGTGTAGTCTGTCGGATTTGACCTCGGATAACGCGGACGCGGTTAGAACAGAAATATGAGGTGCTCCAAAAAATGAATGAATAGTATGGTCCACTCGGAGTGGCTTAGTGAGGCCCATCAGTCAACCACTGATCGGGGAATCACATGCGGTAACCGGGCGTGTAATGAAGCAAATAAGCGTGCTCCCTTTTGAGAATAAAAAAGAGAGAACGCAACTGGAAAGACCATGGTCTAAATATGCGAAACCGAATAGTTTACCTCGATGTTTGAGGAAAAAATATTCATCACACCACTTTTTGAATTTCGCATAGTAAGTCGGGTCGTGTTTGTCGCATGCCATTTTTAGTTGTTGATGGAAGTGTTTGGCGTCATCCTCGAACAGATAGTATGGAGTCAGATCCGAACCACCACCATACCACCAGCATTTGCGTCCTTTGCCCAAATCCACCTCAAAGTAGCGGAAGTTGAAGTGCGTGGTGGGCACATACGGATTGCGCTAATTAGCGGGAAGGGGCGGGGGGATAAACATTTCGGGAGAGGCAGACAGACAGTAATGTGTATTCAAGTATGACTGAGTGTCGTCCAAAATATTTTGTGCCCATAAGCATACAAAATCAAAATGAGAGTTAGAAGAGGCAATGAAACGAGGATGCGAGGAGAAAAATCAGTAGTGGAAGGTATAATCGAAGTATGAAGCTGGAAAATGTATAATAACACGAGATCCATGGATGGAACGGATCGCACTGAAAAACTTGAGCGTCGTGCTCATGATTATTGAAGAAATTAGCTTGTCTTAGCCACAACGAATGAAAACCAAATGGAAAATGTATGCATCTATTAGCAGTGTGCCTCTTTGCTATATCAACTTTGAATTGTATGAATTTGTTTTCTACGTGTCCGAAGTATTTAGATAGCCTACTATAATAGATTTTAGTTCAATAGGAAAAATAAACCGCGAATGAACGAGTAATTTATTATGATTTGTTGGCTCGGTTCAATAATAAACTTCGTTTCACAAAAATCTGATACCTAGTCTACATATTAAAAAAGCTAACCACAAGCAATGAATGCAGTTCCAGTCGCGGTCACTAGGATGGTCATTAATCTCGAACGCAGCAGCACCGGATGATTTTTGGATAGACAGCTCTTTCAGAGCCAGTCCAATGAAGAATCAATGCTATGATTCGATGTTTTGTAAGTGAGTTAGATGCTACTAACCGCAACAAACGTGACCTGATGGTCTTGGTAGAATATTTCATAATAAGTAGTATGTGAATGACTGGACAAAATTTCCCTGGGAGCACTTACAAAACATCGAATCATAGCATTGATTCTTCATTGGACTAGCTTTGAAAGAGCTGTCTATCCAATGGTTACCCGGTGTTGCAAACAAGGTTATTGTGACGAAAATACACTTCCGGGGTACAAGTATATGAATGAACTGACAAAAGATGACCGGATACGCATGNTTGACGAGCGGCAAGAACCGCGAAACCGGTTGTATGCTTCCAGGGAAATTTTGTCCAGTCATTCGCATACTAATTATTAGCATATTTATATATATATCACCAGCTTGCGAGCTTGCGCCAAAAAAAGAATAACATGCATACATAACATATATAGCAGAGTATAAAGCAGTTAAGTTGAATGACGATAATAACAATTGTTTGTTTGTTTCACCGTACACTTTTTGGTATTTTCGTGTTAGTTTATCGTTTATTTTATAGGGCACGAGATTTCGAAAGACAGACCGTACAGCATTCGCGCCACTAACTTCTATTCTGGGCCATATCTCTTAGTATCTCTAACCAACGACAATCCTCATCCTTTGAGCCCCAATCTGGAAGGTGGGCTGCACCAACCGAGGCCAAAGCTGAAGCTTTTTCATACTGCTACTCCATATCAGTCTGACAGCCGCGGTGCTTCTTCTAGCGTTGTTCAACACGTGCCAAGAAAGCACAGAAAGGTAGACGATGGGAAGGCATGTGCAATAAGTGACCAAGCCATCGGAGGCACCATAGGTGCCACAGGTTGGCGAAAACTGCTCTAGCTTTCGCTATTCGTGATGTGATCTCCACCCCAACACTAACACCAGTTGCGATCAAGCTCCCGAGGTACTTGAAGCTCTCAACCACTTTCAGGTGATCACCACAGAGAGTGAGTGCAAGCACAGGCAAGTGTTGACAAGTTGATGAATATTCTTCGAGTACACGGATACCATGAAGTACGGTACACATGAAAGGAGGAGGACTATAAAAGCGAACACAACGGAGTGAGAATGAGATGGATTCAGTGAAGAAGAAAAAACCGTGAGAAGAGTGCATTATGATGGACAAGTATTCAAAGATTAAACGTTTCAAAGGGAAGGGACGATGAAGCAAACGGTGTGGAGCAAACGCTATCCACTAGAAATACCATATACATAATTTAGCAGACATTCGACCGTAGTGATCACGCAGTGTATGTGAACAGAAAACTGATCCCAAGATGGAGTGCTTGAATTTTATCACCACTGTTCAACATTGTTAGTTTATAATTTTCAAGCAGTCTCCTTCCTGAATAATCAGTTAACAGGTGTCTATTGGATGAAAGCTATGGATTGCGGTGGTTATCCGTTTATTTCACTATTAACTCACAGTTACTAGTGAATAGTAGCGTGGGAAAGGTGTATTGATTTGAATTGGTCAATCTTGAGACTTACCCCGTTCACGCACAATCCTCAGTCCATCCAGTCAAAGATACACTCTGAAGCACTGAGCTGGAGTTTTCCGCTTTCCTTATGGTGTATCATTAGGGCATATCCAGTATCCCGTCGGGGCTTCGGAGCCAGCGCATGGAAGGTGTATGCCAATCAGCTCACCCTGGGACTATCCAAATCAATATCACGTAACGCTCATACTGCTCACTGTAAGTGAAATTCTAGCCTAGTCGATTTCAAGAAAGATTATTCGAACCTACGTGGAAGTCCTGATTTGGTAGGAGGCTTCTCATTGGAGTTAAAAACTGGTTAACTGCGTTGCTGTTTTCCCTTACTGATCAAGAGCTATCTCTGAAGACGACATCTGAACAAATTTGTAAATTGGCAATTCTGGTCGGCGCCGTTTTAAGTCAGTTGTTACCATGGTAACACACGCCTTTCACGCTACAGGATTGGAGCGCAAAGAGCTCAGACGGGATGGCGGAAATGCACTAGTGATGAGCTCCGACGAGAGTGAAACTCCAATCTAATGCTTCCTGAGTGTAGGGTCGACTGGATAAACTGAGGACTGTGCGTGAACGGGGATGGATGAAGGATGATGATCAGTTGGGATCAATTCTTCGATGTATATTGTGCACAGCTGCTGTAGTAATTTTGTTCAGTAATTTCATTGTTGGTTCTAGTTTTGAATGGACAAAAAAGGTATGTTCCGATAGTTGGCATTGCTTCACTGCACTCGGTTTGAGATCTGACGCATAGAGCGAAACAGATCAGTTTGAGATATGAGCGAACGCGACGGCAGTCCTGTTTTGATCCATCAATTTGCTGTAGTAGAAGTGGAAAGCAAAACTCCCGCGTGTTCCTCGATCGGTTTAAAGTAAAACAATCCAATTAGACTTGATGAGTATCCAAAAGAGATATGCATGCTGATCTGCGCTTCAAAAATAATTGATTAACTACTTTTTTATTATACACTTTTGTGTAATGAATAGCAGACGGGGAAAGCCGCATAGTCATGAGGACCTGCTGTTTAGTGATGGAGACCGGTAACCTAAGCCCCGGGACTTTAAGTGGCGAACCACATGAGGCCCGGATGGGTTAGGTGTGGTATTGAACAGGACGACAGCACAGCTGCCCACCACCAAAGTTGGTGGTGTCGGGGCTTGAACCTCGGACCACAGGGTCCGAAGCACGCCGGTGACAGCGACTAAACCACTGCGCCACCACCACCAACTCTCCAAATCTGGTCTATGAGTTGCTTAACTTCATTCCTGTAAACACGAAAGTAATCGGACAATTCACTTTTTGTGATAGTGAAAAGGCATTTTCAAATACTAATGTGGAATAGTTATGCACGACAGAACAAACATAAAAAGAGATCAGATTTATTAGACGATACCAAAGGCTTACCGGATGTATTACGGAGCTGATACCACAGGCGAAGAACTTGCAATCCTTATCCACATCTATTTCACTGTGTCTAGATGTGAGAGAGAAAAAGGAAAAGAGCCGTGTTTGATGAACCGGCCCGGATGAGCGAAACACCCGATAGATCTAAGTTAATCAACTAGCGATTAGACAGGTTATCAAACACAATCAAGATTACCAACCAGCAACCAGCGCAATCTTACCTGGCTCGCATTTCGCGTACCGCAACAGGACTAAGAGTACCGTGAATTGCACTGATATTCACGCCAGCTTTTTCAAACACAGCTCCGTCTTCCATGACGCAAGAGATTCCACCACCACCCTAACAAGAAAGATGAAAGCGCAAATAGAATTGGAATGGGAACAGTAACAACCATCATCATCATCATCGTACAGCGAAATACAGTCAAGCGAACTTGGCTGATCGCTGCCAAACTCGCAACGCAGACAATGGATGTAGTAATCTATAAGAGGGATTAAACCTCGTTTTGAGGATTAGAGAGATCAAACGAACTCGATATGGTCACCATAAAGTACAAAAAGTACCACAAAGTCCAACCGTGAATGCATACCTTTTCAAGTATTATGTTTGATAGAGAGAAAAAAGTGAAAAGAATGCTAGTGCTGCCGGTTTACCGCCATATTCCTCAGTGTCCAATTTTCATTTCATTCTTTCACTGAAAATCTATCCCACATCCAACAGTTTCCCAATCAATCAATTCTAATCAAACACTTTGCTGCTCCTCATTCCCAACGGACTCTGCTACCCTTTACTGTAAACATGTATCCAGAATGACCTCAGTTAAGTACTCGGGTGTCACCATCGGGAGCAATCTTTATTGGTCCACACACTAGGCAGTGGTGGCTAAGTGGTTGTCACCAACTTGTGACCTGTGAGTCCCGGATTCCAACCGCTCCACCGCCGCCCATCTTCCCAGGCAGCCTTTGTATGACCGCGGACTCCCTTCCTGAATGTTGACTGTACATTTGTATATTCAATAAGTAAAAGGGGGAGTAAGACATTCATTTATTCATATATTTACAATGGTATGGGAAAACTGAGACGTCTTTTCAGTTGCGTAAACTCGGGCAATTCCGAAATCCACAGTCAGTCCTGTCCTCTTTCGCTCACCAATGCGTTTTACTGATTCTTATCAATTGCCCCCTGTAGCGGTTCTCGGGATTTTTAAGCAACACTTCAAAATAATTCGTCGTGGTTTGATGATCATCAGTCGTGCATCGTAAATCCCGATCGATTCATTATTCACAGAACTCATTAACGGTCACATCAAATGTTGTGTTAAATTTGCTAAAAAGATTCTACCCATTCTACTTTATTGCTCTCCTGTAGTGTTTCCCGGTCTTTATTTATTTATTAATCACAGATCTCAATGATAGTCACATCAACTCTTGTTTTAAATTTGCTCACAAGATTCTAGGTGACCCTCTTCATCCACTACACCCTGATCTATCGTCTTGTCGTTCTCATCCGTCCACACGCTCCTCATTTCGGCATCTACCCTTTTGCATTAACATTGATACAAATTCCCCTGTAACCTACCTGGCCCGAATACTAGCCAAAAAGGAACAGGTCACAAGTGAGCTACGTCAAAAGTTCTGTACATGAAACAAACTTCAGGGACATTCTTTACCTTGCACGTTATATGAAACTGTATATTTCATTCCGCGTGACGAACAGTGTACATTTTTAACTGAAATGAAAGCATATAAGCCTACATAAGATACATAGATATAGATAAAAACCTGTCACAATTTTTAGGACCCCGACTTGTAAGACAAGAGACATATAATCTACCTAATAGCCCTTGTACATTTCTTCATGCGTCGCTTCCACATCATCTGTTGATCTCAACGTGGTC